TAGGGAAATTTAAAATGGACTACAATGGAAAAAGAATTTTTTACAACAAATATATCATCGACTATTATGCCACCTCAGTGAAAAAACATCCCCTGGCAACCTCTGAGGTGATAAGAAAGGCTTTTTACAGAATGAGATGACAAAATTAAGTCAAGAGAGAAGAACAGGTCTTTGGGAATTAGCACAGATCATTTCAAAATTGACAGAGGATCAAACCTGAAATATGGCATAAAGATTCAGTGAAATATAAATATTACATATTGATCTACAGATGATCAATTTTTGCTGCAGGCATTTTTATTCACAAAGTAACTATTTCTCAAATATTGAAGGCAAAAGGGGGTAATGAGTTTGCAGAAAACAAAAAGCATTATTTAATAAACGTCCCCACAGATCCTGACATTGGTTTTATGGACGATGTGGTAAGACCTTCAAGATTGCATATATCCCTGTAAAATGGAAAATGAAGCCTCATTTCTAACCTACTGTGTTAGGGTGAATAATGGCCACCCAAAGATATCATGTCTCAATCCCTGCAGCCTGTAAATAGTAGTACCTTATAAGGTACTCTGGAAAAAAGGGGGCTCTGTAGATATGACTAAGTTAAAGATCTTGAGATGAGAAGATCACCCTAGGTTATCTGGGTGGTTCCTATACCTAATGACAAGTGCATTTAAAAGAGAGAAGCAGAGGCAAGATTGATACATTTAAAAGGAAAAGGTGAGTAAAGAAGGAGGTGTATCATGGAGGGATGCGGCCACAGGCAATGAATGCCAGCAACCACCAGAAGTTGGAAGACACAAAAAACAGATGTTCCCTAGAGCCTCAGAGGGAGTGAGGCCCCACACAGCACCTTGATTAGAACTCGGTGCTACTGATTTTGAAGTTCTGTCATTTAGTCTGGTGAGAGAATAAGTTTCTGTTGTGTTAAGTAAGTATTCACTTTGTGATCATTTAATAAAGCAGCGATAGGAAATCAATAAGCCCACCACATTTCTTTTTCTTATTTTTATTGTATTTTTCCACTACCATTTATCTCTCTTATACCTCCTCCCCACTGCATTGCCCACACTGTTGTCCATGTCCATGAGTCCACCACATTTCCTGAGTGCCTGCTTTCATTCCTTCACAAAATCCACTCTTTAAAAATAATGATACTTAGGCCTGACTGGTGTGGCTCACTGAATTAAGCACTGGCCTGAAAACCAAGGTGTCACTGGTTTGATTCTCAGTCAGAGACGTGCCTGGGTTGCAGGCCAGGTCAGGTCCCCAGCAGGGGACGCTCAAGAGAGCAACTATGTTTCTCTCCCTCTCTTCCTGCCTCCCTTCCTCTCTCTCTAAAATAAATCAATAAAATCTTTAAAAAATGACACATAACACACCACCATCTGACATTTGTCAACACTACTGTGTGTCCAGAACACTGTCAATCTCTCACACATGCTATGTTTAGTCCTCACACCACCACCACCTTTCAGGTCTGTGGATTCCTATTATACAGAAGAGGAAACATTGCTCCATTTTCACATAACCATCAAATGGCAGACTTATCATTAAAACTCAAAAAGCTGATTCCAGGATCCCCTCTCATAACTTCTGCTATACATCAATATGTATGATTCTTTATTACAAAGAGCAAAGACTTTGCTCTACAGAAAGACAGAGATACATGTGTTGCATTAAATTCATTCATATTACACTGTATTCCTAGTCATTTAAAAATGCTTAAAAGAAATAATTGGGGGAGAGTCAAGATGATGGAGGAGTGAATAGAAGCCACACTAACCTCCTCCCAGGACCAATCTGGAATTACAACAAAATTGTGGAGAAATCACTCAGAAAAAACAACTGAACAAAAAGGAGAGAGAAGCCTTATAACCTTGGACAGACAGAAGAATCAGCTTTAGCACAACTTGTTTGGTAAGGATTGCAGGGGAGACTGAAGAGGGCTGGCCAGACACACACAGGTAGCAGTGCTAAAGGAATAATTAAGCAGCCAGTTGGATCCTCCTGAGAAGAACGGGGTCTAAACCCTAAGTTGGGAGCCCCTGCCTAGAACACCTGAGCCCCCAAAAGTACACAGATAACAATTGCCAGAAAAGCTGCAAGGTTGCTCTCCTCCAGAGGTGGATAGCTAGAGACTCAAAGAGCCATTTAAAGGGCCAACACAAAAGTTTTCATTTGTAGCCACTTACCCATAGCTCTGGCAAAGGTGGGGGTAGAGTAGCTAGAGACACCTGAAGAGAGATTGGGGATAGAAGCTTTGGGGAGACTGCTGAAACAGTAACCACCAGGATCCTGGTGCTGACTCATCTCCTCTAAGGCAGCTGCCACTGTATTCAGGCAGACCACTTCCCTCTGAGAAACTGAAGCCTGAAGAGAAACTATAGCCCCACCCCCAGGAGGGACTCTGTCCTGGCTCTGTGGTACTTAAGCTTGACTGCTGAATGTCAAGTGACTAGATTAACTACTGAAAGAGACAGCCACAGACCATAGATCCCTGGCAAAGTGTGGTGGGGCAGATTAGACTAGAGAGGATTGAGGAAAGACAGAGGATGGAGGCTTTGGTGAAAGAACTGAGAGAGTGGCCACCAGGATCCCAGTGCTGACTCATCCCCTATAGAAGCAGCCATCCTACTCGGGCAGACCACTCACCTCCAAGCAACAGCAGCCTGAGGGGGAAAAAACAGCCCCAAACCCAGGAAAGATTCTGCCCAGCCCTGTGGGGCTTAAGCCTCACAGCTGAGTGCTGAGTGACTACATTAACAACTGAAGGAAACAGGCACAGACAGTAGATCCCTGGCTGTCTTGAAGCAGGATGCCTAAGGTCAAATGGGGTCAACATCTGACATCACCAGAGGTGGATCCAGAAAGAAAAAATAGTGATAAACACTAGGGGCTACCTAGATGAAATCTACTGTGGTGTTCTCCATGATTACTGATATTTTTTGTCCTGCATAACTTTCTAACACTCATTTCTTGTCCAGCAAGTTTGTGCATATTAAGTCACTAAAATTTATGCTGTAGCTTATTTCTCTCCTTTCTTATAAAAGTCTTAACCTCTTTACACCCTTATTAAAACTGGTTCATTTGATAGTGGGATTGCCGGGGGGAGATACTTTTGCAGATGTGGGTTTGTTCTGGCAGCACCTGCACAACAGCATTCAAAACATGGCTGGCAGAGTGACCTTCAGTCAACCAGATGGAGGGAAAGATTCACCAAAGAATGACCCCAAAACAATCGAAACGCAATTATATCCAAAGAGCCAACATAAATGGCATAAAGGGTATCCCAAGAGCATCAACTTTAGGAGATCAAGGACATTGCACCACTGAATCTCACAGGTCTCCTACCATAGAAGTTCATACCACAAACTCAGGGAGTAAAAACAGATCAATTTAAGAAGTGGAGGCAAACAAGAAGAGTCTCACAAACAATGAGAACACAAAGAAACAAACCCTAAATGAAAGGAAAGAAGGAATCCTAACAAAGAATGCTAAACAAAATAGAGACAAGTCAACTATCAGATATGGAGTTCAAAAGAATGATTATAAGGAAGCTCAATGAGCTCACTGTGAATTACCAAAAACTACATGGAAACTACAAGGAACTTAATGAGAATTACAACATAAAAAATGAAATAGAAACTATCAACAAGAGCCGAGAGGAAATGAAGAATACAATTTGTAAATCAAAGGACACAATGGAAGGAATCAAAAGCAGGCTTGATGAAGCAGAGGATGAAATCAGTGAGCTGGAGGACAGGGTAGAAAGAAACATCCAGAAAGATCAAGAAAAAGGGACTCAGAAAGAATAAACAGGGGTTAAGGGAACTGTAAGACAACATGAAATGGAATAATAACCATATAACAGGAATACCAGAAGGAGAAGAAGAGCAAGTTTTTTTCAAACTTTTTTCTGTTTGAAAAAGTAATGATGGAAAACTTCCCTAATTTGATGAGAGAAAAAAGTCACACAAATCCAGGAAACACAGAGAGTCCCAATCAAGAGGAACCCAAAGAGGCCCACTTCAAGACACATCATAATTAAAATGGCAAAATTTCAAGATAAAAAGAGAATCTTAAAGGCAGCAAGGGAGAAACAGGAAGTGACATACAAGGGAGCCCTGATAAGACTAGCAGCCAACTTCTCAAAGGAAACATTCCAAGCCAGAAGGGAATGGCAAAAAATATTCCAAGTAATGAAAACCAAAGGCCTGCAACCAAGACTACTTAATCCAGCAAGGCTCTCAATTAAAATGGAAGGCCTAATAAGGGCTTCCCAAACTAAAGAAGCCTCAAAGAATACACCTCCTCGAAAACAGCTCTGCAAGAGATGTTCAAGGGTCTGCTTTAAGAAGAGGAAAAAAAAATGGTGAGAGAGAGAGAGGAACACAGGTACGAAAAATGGCAATGAATAATTACCTATCAATAACAACCTTAAATATAAGTGGACTAAATGCTCCAGATAAGGACAAAACAAACAAAAAAAAGGCCAATACTGCTGATGAACATAGACACTAAAATCCTCAAAAAACTATTGGCAAACTACATCCAGCAACACATTAAAAAGGTCATATACCATGATCAAGTGGGATTCATCCCAGGGATGCAAGGATGATACAATATTCACAAATCAATAAATGTAACACATCACATGAAAAGGAAAGACAAAAATCACACAATTGTATCAATAGATGTGGAGAAAGCATTTGATAAGGTACAGTACCCATTTATGATTTAAAAAAACTCAGCAAAGTGGGATTAGAGGGAGAATTCCTCAACATAATAAAGGCCATATACAAGAAACCTACAGCCAACATCATAGTCAATGAGCAAAAACTAAAAGCTTTCCTAGTAAGCTCAGGAACAAAACAAGATGTTTGCTTTCACCACTTCTATTCAACAAAGTATTGGAAGTCTTAGCCACAACAATTAAACAAGAAATAGAAATAAAAGGCATCCATATTTGAAAGGAGGAAGCAAAACTGTCATTGGTTGTGCTCACTTTGACGGCACATATACTAAAATTGGAACGATACAGAGAAGATTAGCATGGCCCCTGCGCAAGGAAAACTGTCATTGGTTGCAGATGACATGATAGTGTACACAGAAAATCCTATAGACTCTGCCAAAATCTTCCTGACCTAATAAGTGAATTGGTCAAAACAATGGGATACACAGTTAATATTCAGAAACCAAAGGCATTTTTGTACACTAAGAATGAAATATCAAAAACAGAAATCAGGGGGGAAATCCCATTTGATATAGCAACAAGAAAAAGAAATAAACCTAGGAATAAACCTAACCAAGGAGGTAAAAGACCTGTACTCAGAAAACTACACAATGCTGAGGAAAGAAATTAAGGAAAACACAAACAAATGAAAGCATGTACCATGTTTATGAATTAGAAGAATTAACATCATCAAATACCCAAAGCAATTTATACATTCAACACAACCCCTTAAAATGCCAATGACAAATTTCAGTCATTGAACAAACAGTTCAAAAATTTATATAGAACTATGAATGACAACAAGTAGCTGCAGCAATTTTGAGAATGAAAAACAAAGTAGAAAGGATCACAATACCTGATATCAAACTATATTTCAAGGCCACTGTAGTAAAAACAGTCTGGTACTGGTATGAGAACAGACACATAAATCAATGAAACAGAATAGAGAGCCTAGAAATAAACCTAAGACTATGGTGAATTAATATTTGAAAAGGGGGCAGAAGCATAAAATGGAGTAAAAATGTCCTCTTCAACAAATGGTGCCAAGAGATCTAGACGAGTACATACATACATACACACACACACACACACACACACACACACACACACAAAGAAACTTGACCACCAACTTACACCACACACAAAAATAAACTGAAGATGGATAAAAGACTTTAATATAATTCACAACACCATAAAAGTCCTAGAGGAGAGCATAGGCAGGAAAACCTTAGATATTCCAAGCAGCAATATTTTCACTGATATGTCCCCTGGAGCAAGAGACATAAAGAAAAGAATAAACAAATGGGACTCCATCAAAATAAAAAGCTTCTGCATGGCTAAAGTAAACATCAGCAAAATGAAAAAGGAACCAATACTATAGGAAAATATAATTACAAATGATACCTCTGACAAGGGTTTGATCTCCAAAATATATAAAGAATTCACATGACTCCACTCCAAGAAGACAAACAAACCCAATTAGAAAATGGGCAGAGGACGTGATCGGACACTTCCCCAAGGGGGACATAGAGCGGGTCCAGAGACACATGAAATGATGTTCAGCATCACTAGCTACCAAAGAGATGCAAATTCAAAACACAATGAGATAACACTTCACACTGGTAAGAATGGCCATCATAATCATACCAACAAACAACAAGTGCTGGAGAGGTTGTGGAAAAAAGGGAACCCTAGTGCACTATTGGTGGAAATGCAGACTGAGGCAGCCACTGTGGAAAACAGTATGGAATTTCCTCAGAAAACAAAAAATGGAACTTCCTTTTGACCCAGCAATGGGACTATACCCTAAGTATTTTGAAACAACAATGCAAAAGAATCTATGCACCCCCAATGTTCATAGTAGCACAATTTACAATAGCCAAGTGTTGGAAGCAACCTAAGTGCCAATCAGTTAAATAAGTGGATAAAAAAACTGTGACACGTGTATTTAATGGAATACTATGCAGCAGAAAGAAAGAAAAAGCTCCTACCTTTTATGACAGCATGGGTAGATCTGGAGAGCAGTATGCTAAGTGAAGTAAGCCAGGCAGTGAAAGACAAATACCATATGATCCCATCTATAAGTGGACCCTAATCAAGAAAACAAACAAGCAAGCAAAATATAATCACAGGCATTGAAATTAAGAACAAAGTGATAGTAACCAGAAGAAGGTGGGAGGGGATAACGGGGAGAAAAGGGTGAAGAATTGTCAAGGAACATGTATAAAGGACACATGGATAAAGCCAAAGGGGAATATGATCAAGGGTGGGAGGTGGGGATTGCTGGGGAAGGGGGGAATGGTGGGGAGAAAATGTAAACAATGTACTTGAACAATAACAACAAAAAGAAAGAATATAAGAAAAAAAAGAAAAATAATGAAAGAAAACTTCCTTAATTTGGTGAAAGGAAATAAACATACAAGTCCAGGAAGTACAGAGTCTGAAACAAGTTGGAACCAAAAAGGACCACACCAAGACACATCACAACAAGGTACCAAATGTTAAAGATAAAGAGAGACTCCTAAAAACAACAACAGAAAAAGCGGTGAGTTACTTAGAAAGAGTTACCATAAAACTATTAGCTGATTTCTTAAAGGAAACCTTGCCGGCAAGATGGAGCTGGCCAGAATTATTCAAAGTGATGAAAAGCAAAGACCTACATCCTAGATTACTCTATCCAGCAAAGCTTTCATTTAGAATGGAAGAGCAGATAAAGTGCTTTCCAGACAAGGTCAAGTTAAAGGAGTTCATCATCACCAAGCCGTTATTATATGAAATGCTAAAGGGACTTCTCTAAGAAAAAGAAGATAAAAAATATGAACAGTAAAATGACAACAAACTCACAACTATCAAAAACCAAACCTAAAACAAGAACAAAAACAAAAACAAACTAAGCAAACAACTAGAACAGAAACAGAATCAGAGAAATGGAGATCACATGGAAGGTTATGGGGGGGAGAGGAAGGAATGGGGGAAAACGTACAGGGTATAAGAAGCAGAAATGGTAGGTACAAAATAGACAGGGGAGGTTCAGAATATTATAGGAAATGGAGAAGCTAAAGAACTTATGTGTAAGACCCATGGACATGAACTGGGTGGGGTGGAGGAACGCAGGGGAGAAACAAATAGAACAGCCGTAACAGCATAATCAATAAAATATAACTTTTAAAAAGGGATTTTCATTGTAGCTTTAACAGTTAAAAAACCTAAAACAATGTTACCGTGTAACAGTTGCAGTGGAGAATGGTAGTCTGATGACACCCTCAAATGTTGGACTACTATGGACTATTAATTTTATCTTCCTCAAGAATATTTAATGACATGGGGGGGAGATGTTCATAATAAAATGTCAAGTGACAATAGTGTGGCACAATAATAGGTACAGTTTGAGCCCAGTTAAATACCTGAGTACTCACTCACATGCATACAGAAAAAATAAACCCAAAGAGTACCCATGAGAATGCTAGTAGCCAGTATCTAAGATAGAAATTATAAGGAAATTTATTTTCTTACATATTTTTTCTATAGTATAATTTCCTCAATTAGTATACAGCATATAATTTTATAAATGGAAAAACAGTGCAAAAATTAAAGGATAGTGTCAGTAAAATAACCACAGAACTTTAATATACTCATTGTAAAACATCTTAGTCTTTGGTTTGTCTTTCTTTTGTTTGTATCAGTACACCAATCCACCAACCCTGCCCCAGGACACCAGTCTTAAATAGGCTAAGATCGCATTATTCTCAATTCCAAAAATATGGAATTTGTGAAAATTCTATTAAACAAGTCTCTGATTATTCTCCCCCGCCCCCGAGCTATGGTGTTGTCACAGTTTGAATTACAGTATATGTACTTGATGCCAGGTACCTTCTAGCAACAGATGAATCATGTGTTATAAATGGCTTACGTTTAAAATAAATGATCAGCTTAAACATTCCTGCCTGCCACCAGTTCCCAGCAGACATTCCATATATTCTCCAACATATTAACTTAAAAATGAAGCTTGGTCCCAAATGGGCCTTGAGAAGTCAGATAAAATGCAGGTAAGGAGGGGACTGATGGGCCTTTTTTTAATATGGCTCAAACCAAGTCACCATCTCCCTCCTGACTTCTGGATTTCTGCCCTCCACAGACAAAATGGAAAAGCAAATCTAGGAAAGGACAAATTAGTTGTTTGTTTTAAAGAGAATTAGCCCCAGAGACCCATGACAATGAGTAGTTTAGTCATCCCTAAAACAAAGTAGGGATGCATTTGCCTACTGAGAAGCATTGGTAACAATCTACCTTGAATTTTTGCATTTATTTTTTCTGTACATTTCATCCTTTCACTTACCATAATGTGTGCATGCTTTTTAAAAAAATTTTAATCCTTACCCTAGCATATATGTTTATTGATTTGAGAGAGAGACAGAGTAAGAGGGGGGAAGAGAGAGAAAGAGAGAAATATTGATGTGAGAGGGAAACATCAACTGGTTGACTCCCCATACATGCCCTGATTGCAGAGGGTGGGGAAGCAGGGGTGGGTGTAGGGGGAACAGATCACCTGCAACCTTTTGATGTACAGGACGATGCTCCAACCAACTGAGCCACCCAGGCAGGGCTTTTTGCATAATGCTTCTTGAGGTCCATCCATGTTGTAGCTGGTATTAGTATTCTGGGGTTGTTGGGTTTTTTTCAGTTGTCCCTTTGTAGTTTCTCTGTTTTCACTGAATTGTATTCTCTTGTATGGACATAAAGAGTTCTGTTTATCTATTCACCAATTGATAGACATTTGGATTGTTTACACTTTTTGGCTATTATGACTAGCGCTACTATAAAGAGTATAAATTAGTAGTTTTCTGGGGCTAAGGATGGGAAAGAGATTGACTGCAAATGGAAAGGAAGCTTCTGGGGAAGATAGAACAGGTTCTAAAATTGGGTTGTAACTTTTCTAAAGATGATCGAATTTTTAAATTAAAATCAGTGAATTTTTATGTTATGTAAATTAAACCTGTATAAAGTTGTTTAAAAACATAGTTTGGTATTACCTTATTTTGAAGATGATGTCAATGGACTCTTGAAAGCAGATATTTATTCTTTAAGTTCTAAAGGCCCTCTTAACATTGTAATACAAGGACATTTCATAAGGTACAGTCCTCATACCAAAGAAGTAGGTTTTGAAAGGAGCAATGGAGTCATCAAAAGGGGAGCTATGGTTGTATGCCAACTGCTGGAAAGCTAAACTCTACTGTCTTCCTAACTGGAAGTTCTGTGAAGGTAGATATTGTAAATGTTAGGAATCAGGGCATAGTTTGAGGTCTTGAGCTTGAAGATTCTACCAGGCTGAATGTCAGTGTTGAAATAGAGGATGAAGGAAAAGAGTTAGGACG